TTTGTTTAATTGTTTGTATATATATATAAGGTAGTATTGAGCTACCATTCTACCGTTGGACACATAAGCGGGATTGTCCTAAAAATAAGTTTCCGTCTGGCAACCTAGCATGGCCATAAACATTAAAAAACATAAATATATATTTCTTATATACATAGATTATCAGTACAGAAGATAATATATTTAGAATTTAATACTTAAACAGGTGTATTTTTGTTGTATGTTTTGGTTTTTGCGTTCGCCCATAGATTGTACTACCGATCCTAGAGGGAAGTGCGATTGTCGAGATTGTGAATGATCGATGATCCGCCATGCTAATGAATGGTCCACTTAGCCACTTGGTAGCTATTAGTAGCTTATCATAAACGAGGATTATCCTTGCTGCTACACTGCCCACCCTTCAGTTCGGCAAAGCGAAAAACTTCATTACAACCTTCGAAAGATTTCGTTTCCACGTGACACGATCGTCTTATTTGGCGTGGCCGTCCTGTAAGGACAGATGGAAAAAGGATAATAAGGTCTACTGGCTCCCCAAAGCTTTTCTAAAGGCTGTTTTAAATGTTTAATCGTTGAATACCGATGAGGGGCCATCATTCAGTCTTGATTATGTATTTATGGTAAACAAGCGAGAACCGTCAGCAGTTAGCTTCTTTTTTGTCGTCTTTCTCCTTTTCCGTCTAGCATAATGTTGCCCTTGTGCATAAAACGCTGCATTACAATATTGCCTCAATAAGGCGAAATGCCATTCGGACTGAAAGTGAAGGACGTTTTCATATATATATTTACAATGTCACAAACGTGTTGAAATGATTTTTATATAAAAAATGTATGTCAACTAGTATCGGACAAGGAAAAATGCGTCTGGTAAAATCGATCAACGAGTCTAGACGGACCAGGGACAATCAAGCTGTGGGAAAATATAATAATATTTCATTTAGAAATTGTCACCCAACATCGTCATGACTAACCAATGCGTCTACCAGCATCTGTCTTTCATTCCTTAATTTATTGACTTGGAACTATTTGAGTCCTTTAGTAAAAATTAAAAAACAATCATAATAAAACCTTTCTTTTTTACAATTACAACTATAAAGCCTTTAAGACCAAAAACCGTAATAAATACGGCAGTATATTTTTAAGACAATGTTTTTTGAGGGGACGAGGATGGCCTATTCTGTCACCCACCATGGCCCTCACAAATTAAAACAATTTTATTTTATCTTTTAAATAAAATAGATTGTTTTAATTTTGGTTATTTAAGCTAAATAATCTGTATATAAACAATTGGTTATTTAGATTAAATAACTAAAATTAAAAAATCCCTTCAAAAAACCGTAACTGGTCAATAAAATTGAAATTTCAATATTTTCATATAATAAGTTAAGTTTACGCAAATTCCATCAACGCCATTTTGCAGTAGGAGACTGCGCCAGTGGAAAGGGGTGAATTGCGCAGATCCGAGGGTGGTTTCCTACCGGGGTGACCCTCAGCATCCGCATCCCGAAAAATGGCGTTTTCGACTACCCCGATCGAACTCTCCCTCCATTCACGCCAATTAAATAATCTCCCGTTAAAAGTCATTTGTGTCATTGCCATTCACCCGGCCACCCCCACGCCGACAATTTTCTTTTGCATAAATGAAAAACTACCCGGGTCTTATCGTGAAGAAAATCAGACGTCACGCATTTCAAATGCGACACGCTATTGCATTTTCAGTCGGATTTTCATTCTCTCACCACAACGCTATTTCACCCAATAACGTTATACCTCTGTGTTACATATTGATGTGTAATCTTCTAATTAGAATTTTTATTTATTAGATTATTGTACTCATTTATAGAGTTTCTGTCTGGCACATAACGTGCTGTAGACAGAAAGGTAATTTAATTAATAGCTTTTTTTTAACGTTTGTTCTAATTTATGTAGCAAATAAGAATAAATTATTATAATAGGCATTGATTTTTCATAGATAATATATCATATAATCACAGATATGTAATATATGTTATATTACATTCACATATTTCATAATTTAACTGCTCAAAAATGAATAGGGATATTGCCAATTTTGTGGTATTTATGTTCCCTAAGATTTTTATTTTATTTTAGTTGTAAATTGCATTAAAATTTATAAGAAATTATTATGTTTTTACCGAAGGAAAATTTAATTAAAGGATTTTGAAAAATAACAATGATAGGGTTATAAAATTTTTTTTTTTGGACACAATAATTTTTTTACACAATTGATATCGTGTATAATGTTCTATATTAGTTAAAACCTTTTACACCAACAGTTAGGCATGTTGTTAATAAGGTTGTCACCAATTTCATAAGGAATTTGACTCCATAGATATTGTACCGCTGCATTCAGTTGTCGAAGATCAACTGGCTGCGGATGGTGATCGAAAAGCATTCTCTGCACTGCATCCCACAGGTGCTCAATGGAATTGAGGTCTGGAGACAATGGAGGAAGGGGCAGATGGGAAATTCACAGGTTTTCTAAACATTGACGAACAACTCTGCCTTTATGAGGTCTGGCAATTCGAAAATCCCTGCCAATGAGGTCTCTGGTTTGAGAGATGTATTCCTCGATAATCTCTTGGGCATAACGGACTGCGGTGAGGTTGCCTTCAACAATGTGTTCTCCAGTGTAAATCCCAGCCCAGACAATTACACCGCCTCCTCCGAACTGCACTGAAGAGAGCACAAATTGCGTGTATCCCATGTGGTAATTCAGCGCCTGCTATCACTATTCAGACAGAAACGCGATTCATCAGTAAAGGTAACAGCATTGGGGTTCTTTTCTAGGTGCTCACTGCACAATATTATTCTGAGTTGCTGGTGGCGGGCTGTTGCTGCAAGTCGTCTCAAAGGGGCATACGATGTGAGGCCAACTTCCCACAAACAATTATAATGATAAAGACCTTGCCAAAATATCTTGTACTTTTTTTAGGATCTGGCGGGCACTGTGGAAATGGGTTCCGTCTTGCAGCAATGACAATATTTCTGTCCTCCATTACCATCGCCATTCGTTGAAATCAACTAC